TAAACATGCTAACATTAGTGCAGCTGTTATTGTTGTTAAGTATTATTGAGTCCAGTACGAGTCACAGCAATCCCATAAACAATAGGTCTGAACTGTCCTATCCTACGCCATCCATATCCTCCCTGGCATATTTGAATCCACTGCAGCAGACACTGCCTCAATCCAGCTCACTGAGGGTCTTCCTCTAATTCGCTGACCTTCCACCCTTCAAAACATGGTGTCCTTTTTTTCAAGAACTAGCCTCCCCTAACATGCCCAAAATATGTGACATGAAGCTTCACCAACCTTGCCTCCAAGGAACATTCTGGCTGCACCTTCTCCCACACATGTATGTTTGTTCTCTCGGCAGTCCATGGGGTATTCAGCATTCTTCTCTAACATCATATCTCAAATGTGATGCAGCTGTAGGATAATAAAAATCCCACTGCCTTCGAGTCAAATCCAACTCGTAACAACTGTAAGGGATGGAGCAGCACTGCCTTATGGGGGAGTGTTGTTGTTGTTTGTTGTTGCTATGTACCGTCAAGTTGCTTGCGACTCATAGCGACCCTATGTACGACAGCCCTAAACTCTGCTCTGTCCTGCGCCAATCGCACCGTCTCCGATACACCCATCCCGATTACCCCAGTTACTGAATCAATCCACCTCATAGGGGGCCTGTGCTGTCCCTCCACCCTACCAAGCATGATGTCCCTCTCCAAGGACCTGTCCCTCCTTGCAACATGTCCAAAGTATGTTAGACAGAGCCTTAGAATCCTTGCCTCCAAGGAGCCGCCTGGTTTGACCCTTTCCAGGATGAATCTGTTTGTTTTCCTAGCCGTCCATGGTATTCTCAATACTCTTCTCCAGCACCACAGCTCAAAGGCATCAATTCTCCTTCTATCCTCCTTGGTCATTGTCCAACTCTCTGATGCATAACAAGTGATAGCAAAGACCATGGCCTGTATCAGACGCACCTTAGACTCCAAAGAGACACCACTGCTCTTCAGTACTTTGGAGAGGTCCCTAACCGCAGACTTTCCCATGGCAATACTTCTTCTAATTTCCTGCCTACTGGTGCCGAGAGTGTTGACTGTGGAGCCAAGCAAACTGAAACTGTGAACAATCTCAATCTCTTCACCATCCATCCTGATGCTGCCAATTGGTCCAGTAGTGAGAATCTTTGTCTTCTTGACATTGAGCCTCAATCCATATTGGAGGCTGTAGTCCTTGACCCTCTGCAGCAAGCACTTCAGGTCCTCCTCAGTTTCAGCAAACAGGGTTGTATCATCTGCATATCGCAGATTGTTGCTAGATCTTCCACCAATCTTGACCCCACATTAGAGGCTGTAAATATTTATGGAAGAATGCAGACACATCTATGTCCCTAGGTTCAGCTGTTACAGCAACTGAAACAACAGAAGAAAGTGTATCAGAGATGACAAGCAAGGCAGAGGATAGAGCAGAGTACAGATCCATTGATCCCAGGGTCACTAAGGGACAGGCAACTTGATGGTACATAACAATACCAAAGCCCTTTTAATTAGCAGTCAAGCACTTTCACCACTGTGCAGCCAAGGATGCCAGCAGCTGTAGAATACCAGCCAAAACAAGTCCATCATTATCTTTTGAATTTCACAATGGTGAGATAGCATTGCTCGTATTTTTACAGATAAGGAAACCAAAGCCCACAAAAATAATCCACAAGCAAAAATGCCAGTGGGCAGACATCCTGTTACCCAAAACCCTAGCTGGGGCTTGTTGACCTGGTCCCTACAAACACCCCTCAGTGTTGTTGTCAGGTGCCACGGAGCAGAATCTGACTCAGCAACCCTATCTACCTACAACAGACAGAAACCTTGACCAATCCTGCACCATTCTCACAATCTACACTGCGGTTAAGGCAAGGTTATAATCACTGTCTCAACCCATCTCCTTGAGAGTGTTCCTCTCTTTCACTGGCTCACCATCTTTCCAAGCTTTTCCAAGTCTTCACCCGAAAACCCTCCTAACAACATGTCGAAAGCAGGTGAGACAAACTCTCAGAATCTTTGCTTTTAAGGAGACTGAGTACACGTCTTCCATGACAGATCTGCTTCTTCTTAGGGGTTGACTATTTTCCTCCGTTTGGAAATGTATTTTAAAGAACTTTATTTATTGCTGTTATAAAACATAAGCCTCCAATGGAAGACCCTCAATGAGATAGACACAGTGGCTGTAACAAATGGGTCTGACACAGCTGATTGTAAGGATGCGAAAAAATCAAGTAAAGAAATATTTATTTAGAATGACATCATGAGTAATCAATCAAGAGATCTCATCTGAATATTGTTAAGTGTCATCAAATCAGCTCTGACTTGGAGACTCCATTGTACAGCAGAACAAAATCGTTTTATTCCATGCCAACCTCACCCTCTCTGCTGTGCTTAAATCCACTGTTGTAATCACTGCAAAGACCACAAGTGGACCAACAAATAACATCATGATTAACAGAAAAGACTGACATTGTCAATGATTCCATTTTACTTGGATCCACAACCAACCCCCACTGAAGCTGCAGTCAAGAAATCAAATGACCTGTTGAGGTAAGGTGAAATGACCTATCGAAGTAAGGTGAATCTGCTGACTAGGACCTCTTTAGCAAGCTAAAAGGCAAATAGACCCTTGCGTGTTTGGGAATATGCTTTACTCAGATCATAGCATTTCTCAGATGTTCCATATGCACGTGATAGCTGGACAATGAAGACCAAATAATTGATGCTTTAGAATTGTTCAGTGCTAACACGAATGACAAAAAGAACAAATCTGTCTTGTAAAAAGTACAGCTAGCGCGTGCATGAGACTTTGTCTCACGCCCTTGGTCCATGTTATCAGGAGGGTTCGATTTCTAGAAAGGACAGCTCTTCTGGAATTTTGGAGAAATGCTTCCTTTTTTTTTTCTATAATTATATTTTATTAATTTTCATAAACATTTACAGAGATTTTGGGCTTCCACTCATTCATTGTTGCACTATTCTCTCTACCCTCCTCCCAGTTTGTTCTTGTCCAAATGCCACAGTGCTTGTCAAAGCCAGTTCTGATTAATCTTCTTTGTCAGTGTATCCTTTGCCATTCCCTATCACTCCTCCCTGAGAGAGACTTCACCCTGAGTCATAAGGAAAAGGGGACGGCGTATTCTCTTAGCTACTTCCTGCTGAAAAGGGACGCTGTGGGTTTCAGGGTGAAGATCTTCTCTCACTACTCTAAAGGGCCCCTTTGGCAGTAGGAAACACATAGACTACTATGGAGATTGATTTTGGAATTCAGATGCACTCTTATTGATTGTGCTTGGCCGTACATGTTCATATCCTTGAAGATGTATCATGGGGGTGTTGCAACCTAGAAGACACAAATTTGACTAACAAGTTATAAGTACATGAGTCCAAAAATTATGGAAAAGTAAAAGAAAAGATTCTTTCATTGTTTTACAAACCCTCCCCCAGGTCCCCTCCACCATGCAGCCCTCGCTCTAGTCTCCTGTGATGACAGAAATACCCAGTTACATCTCTCTTTTAGACGGTTCTCTCCCTCCTCTGCTTCAGTGCAGTATACATTATTGAACCCATCTTACTCAGTGTCTCCCTAACCCCAAGGACAGTCCCATTCTACAACAGTGGCATCATGTAATATTTGTCCTTTTGTGACTGGGATATTTCACTCAGCATAATGTTCTCCAGAGTCAACCATTTTGAATAATATTGCATGAGTTCCTTGTTTTTTAATGCAGCATAGTATTCCATTGTGCGAATATACCACAGCTTCTCTAGCCATTCGTTTGTTGATGGGCACTTTGGTTGTTTCCAACTCCTTGCTATTGTGAACAAAGCTGCAATAAACATGGGTGTGCATATATCTGCTTGGATGTCAGCTATGGTCTCTTCAGGGTATATTCCCAGTAGTGGAATTGCTGGGTCAAATGGTATCTCTATTTGCAACTTTTTGAGAAAGCGCCATACTGCTTTCCACAGGGGTTGCACCATTTTACACTCCCACCAACAGTGAATCAGGGTTCCAGTGAGAAATGCTTCCTGGTGGCAACCTTCAACTACAATCCTGGGAGCTCCTACAAAGTTGCTAAAGTTTTAAGAGGTGGGATTCGGCAAACAACTGTGAGACTTAGACCCCTAGAAACGTATCCCCCCCTTCCTAAAATTCACACAATTTACAGAACCAAACCACACCCATGCGTGACACTAGATTCCCGGAATGCACGCGAGTGGTTGCTTTTCTTCGCAGAGCTCAGCGATCAGAGCCTGGCTGCCCAATGCAACATGACCAGAGAGGGGAAGCATAAAAAAGGCTCCCGAGGTCCTTCAAGGGGACTGAAAGGCAGACCAAGGAGAGCAAAGGACAGAAGGAGGCAGTTAGTATAAGGAAAATACTATTGAATCAGCCCCGCGCGCACGCCCGGAAGTGGAACCTTCTCGGCCAATGGCTGCATGATGCGCCGTCTGACGGTGGCTCACACGGGCCCTAAGAGGAAATGGCGAAAGACCCAAGAGACGCGAGAAGGCACCATCTGCAGAGAAGGAACACGTGCACGTTATCGAGGCGGTGTTGTTAGGGATAATGTACTCTCACCGCATCTCTACTTCCATTAGCCTAGCTGTGTATCGCCACGCCTCGGGTCTCAGGCGCCACTTCCGTACCACGACTGCCCATAGTAAAGATGGCGGCGAGGCGTGCCTAGAAAACAGGAAGTGGGCGGGCTTGGCGGGATCCTTCAAAGGCGCGGTCAGGGGGCGTGTCCTGACTGCACTCCCGTCTGACAGTCAGGAGGGCGGGAGCCGGTAACTTACAACCCCAACTCTGGTCAGCAGTCTCCGCCGCTGGGGCGGGTCGCTTCTCTCAGCCACCCCCCTAGAGGCGGGCCCACCACTGTCTCCACCCGTGCCCAGGTAGCTCCCTTGCGAAAGTGCCGGCTGAGACTTGCTGGGGCGGCGGAGCCCTTGCCGACTTTCTGGGGTTGCGGGGAAGTGGCGATGGAGGGCTCTGGGGAGACCCCGCTGGAGTCCAGTGCCTCCATTCCCGGGCCCGAAGAGCCTGCTAGAGTCCCCGAGGTGCCGCTCCCCGAGGTGCCAGAGGGCTGCACCCGATCCCCGGAGGCCACCACGAAGAAACTCTGTGGCTATTTGAGTAAGTTTGGCGGCAAAGGACCCATCCGGGGCTGGAAATCCCGATGGTTCTTCTACGACGAGAGGAAATGCCACCTGTACTATTCGCGGACCGCGCAGGATGCCAACCCCTTGGACAGTATCGATCTCTCCAGTGCTGTCTTCGACTGCAAGACCGACGCCGAAGAGGGGACTTTTGAAATCAAGACTCCCACCCGAGTTATTACTCTCAAGGTAAACGGAAGGGCCCTTTCCTTTTCCGCCAGAGTTGATTTCCAGGGCACGCTGGACAGGGGTGACCGGTCATGGTAAATTAACTCCTGCAGCGGTCACTGAGGTGTGTGCCCAGACTATTTGTTCCCTAAGCTCGTTAATACATTTTTCTCATTTGAAGGAGTCCTAGTGGCGTAGTCCTTAGGGAGTTGCCCTGCTAACTCGAGGATGCAGGTTCGAATCTACCGTCAGCTCCACGGGGCCAAGAAGGACACTCTTCTCCCATTGTGATTTACAGCCTCGCAAACCCAATGCAAAGACGCTTTGTGTCACAACCTACCCAAAGGTAGGGCGTTCTTACTGGATTCTCACAACACATCAGTATAGTAGGCAAAACAGTAGAGATGAACCCATTTTACAGATCAAGCAATTGAGTCTTAAAGAGCTCACGTGCCTGGAGAGTGGTGCAGACAACACGTGGAACCTGTAATTTTTGGCTCTAGTAATCTTGGAACTTGGTGCTATGTGAAACCTTTTATTTGGGGGTCTACCTAACAGTGCCTGCCTGCCTACCCACCTAACCAACTTGTTAACTGAAATATAGTCAAACTTTGTAGTCATCTGACCAGGCCAGGGTTGTGACTTTTATTTATTTTTTTTTCTTGACATTTTGCCCAGAGGGAGGTAATGCTGAGAAATGCCAGCAGGGAAGATAAACGCTTAGGTTTCACTGATCAACCCAGATTTTTCATCATTGCATGTCCAAACTAGTCCTCCTGTCAATAAAGAAGAGCAGATTTTGTTTTATCATCATGTTTGAATGAGAAAGATTAAAGCAAAGGAAAGACCAAGTGCTTTAAAATAGCAGGCTGGATCAACGTTCCTACTTGCTGTTTTACTAGCTGGTACCCTGCTTTACTAGTATTACCCTGGGCAAATTGCTTAACCTCTCAGAATCTAGGTCTCTTGTGAGATTTAAAGCAGGACATATATGCATCCTCACATTATAGGTCCTTGTCCAACACCTAGCATATAGCTTGGCATCTGGTGGTGCTCTGTAAATGTCGGTTGAGTGAACACATATGCATTCTCAGGGGAGTGGAACCAAAATCATGTGACCTTGTCAGGAGGAGTTGCAACAACTTAGTTGGAAAGACACATCTTGGCTAAGATTTCCTTTGAGCATCATTGAAAAATATGGTTAGGAGACACCCCTTCCATTTCACTCCATCACCCCTTCACAATCACATCCATATGACTTGGCACCTCTTGAAACTCCTGGATGTAGCCCACAGGTATAATTCCGTGGTATAATTATTGACTGGATCGGGCTGATGACCCATATAGGGGCCTCAGTTAATACAATGAAACCAGAAAGTCCAGGCCTGGGAAGACATTTTAGAAATCATGTGACCACAGTCCCCTCCCACAGGTTGAGCGCTGTGTAGAGTCTCCAGCACCTGGCTTTTCACATCCTGTTGATCTGTATGTGTATCCAGCCTTGATCTTAGCATTGGAATCTGGAAAGATCAGACTTGATATTCTAATAGCTTTCAATCTCTACTGAGAAAAGCTGGTATGGAGACTGGTACATGCTAACATGTTAGCCATATGACACACAAAAAAAGTGATAGCAGAGGATGTGATAATTCCACTGAATAGGAGGGGCTGTCCAGGAAGGGCATCATGGAGAAAAGGCAGACTCCTGAGGCTTAATAGAGAAAATAGATCCTTCCCAAAGACAAGAAGGAAAGTAATATTCTAGACTGAGAGAGCCTCCATGAGTAAAGATAAGAAAACACAACACAGACCCGAGTCCAGGCAAATCACAGGAACCTGGAGGGCAGAGAAGGTCAAAAGATAAACTTAGAAAGCAGAGACCAAGCATGGGACATTTGTGAATTAGGTGGAGGAGCTTGAACATTATCCACTGGGATGAGTGAATGAATGAATGAATAAAGGAACATTAGGAATAAATAAAGGGACATCAGATTTATGTCTAACCCTCAGTGGACTCCAGGCACCAAGTATCTTGGGTTACCACAGCATCCCCAGTGCCTAGCTAGTCCTTGACACATAGTAAGTGCTTGATGTACAGTTATCAAATTTGTAAAATGGGATGTTTGAGCTTGAGCTGGAACTTGTTATAATGAAGGCCATGGTAAAGCTGTAAGAGGTACTGAAGGTCTCTCAGGGAAGGAGTTGAAAGAAAAAGCTGTTGGGCTTCATTTTTTTTAGCTTATTTGCGATCTCTGCGATAAGCCAAGGCCTCTTTAATGGAGTCCTCTGGTCGTGGGCATATCTCATGGGCCTCTTGAAAGATAGAGCTTGTCTTGGTTGGTAAACTCAGCAGCTAGTCTCATGTGAGTGAGACCATGCTGGTCTTGATCTGTGAGTGGCTCTGTGAGGCTCACTGTCCCCTTCACACAAGCTGCCCATCTTCTGTGTCCTACTATTACTAACTACATGTTTTCTTTTTTTAAAAAAATTATTTTTTTTATGTGTGTACCATCAAATTGGATCTGACTGGTACAGAAGGAGATTGTCCCTCCTTCTTCAACAGAGCATCTGGTGGATTTGAACTGCGCACCTCTGGGATTGCAGTGCAGCTTCTTGCCACTAGGCCACCAGAGTTTGCCCATCATGTCTTCTTATAGCGATAAGTCTCCAGCAAAGCCCTAGTCTAGAAGTTCTGGCCCCAGCTCACCTGCATCAGGGACATCAGAGCCTTTGTTTCTCCATGTGTAAAAGGACTGATCATCCCTTCTGGAGGATCCAGAGAGGTCCTGGATATGGAATTAGGTGTTGGACCTTCCAAGGCTAATGAGTACAACTTTGCTTAGAGGACTGAGACTCCTGATGGATGCCGTTTTTATTATCAAGGTGTTCATTAGCCCTCCCACGTGCATAGTTTTCAGTCCCCATTCATATCATGGCTTCAGTGCCTCCGCTTAGAGATGTTGCAAGAAGGAAGTAGTGTTAGCCCTAGGGTTTCATCCAGGTCAGAATTCTAAAACCATTTCCCCTCTCACCGGAGCTCAAATGGTGTAGTATGTGTCAGGCTAACTGACTCAGGGAGAAATGAGGAATCACCAGTAAAGGTTTACAGCCTCAGAAATCCAGTGAAGGGTCTCACTGAGCTGGAGCTGATTTGATGGCAGTGTGTGTGTGTGTGTGTGTGTGTGTGTGTGTGTGTGTGTGTGTGTGTGTGTGTGTGTGTGTCTTTGTCTCCCTTCTCACAGCACCTCCCAATTCCTTTACCCTCGAGCATAAATGGAGCACCTACTATGTGTCAGAGAGTATGCTGGACCCTTTACTTCCTTTACCTTATTTCATCCTCATCAAGGTACTTCCTTTACCTTGTAACATCCTATCACTATCTTTCTCCCCCCATGGTAGGTTTTCAGAGGCTGTAAATCCCACAGGAGGAAACTGTCCACCCCTTACAACAGCTGGTGGATTCTGATGCCTGCCTCTGGGCTGGCGGTGCAACTCCTTACCCACTAGGCCCCCAGAATGCCCTCACCACAGTATAAAGTGGGTCCATTGTCACTATAGTACAGATGAAGAAACCGAGGCCCAGAGAAGTCAGAGAAATTTGGTGGGGACTCAAATCCTCAATTGTCACCAAGAAGCATATATTACAGATATGGGCATCAATTACCCACTACAGTGATTTTTTTGTTTTTGTTTTTGTTTCTCTGAGGAGAATTATCCAGTTTCCCATGACTTTCCCTGCCTTTCTGCCCAGTACCCAGAAAAGGCCCAGCAGTCCCAGAAGTGCCCTGCTTCCCCCGGCAAGGGCTTTGCCAACTAATCCTTGTGCTTCTCAGGCTGCCACCAAGCAAGTGATGCTGTACTGGCTGCAGCAGCTGCAGATGAAGCGCTGGGAGTTCTACAACAGCCCGCCTGCGCCTCCCGCTGCCCCTGCCGCCACCCTGGCTGGGAATGGGACTGCTCTGCGCCTCGAGCTAGGTATCCGCTGGCCTTGTCTCCTGCCCACACACCAGGGCTTTGCCTTAATGATGAGAGTGAGCAGGACAGACAGGCAGGAAGTGACCTGGGATTAGTTAGCCAACTGTATTGAAGACAAGAATGTGGGCCCTGAGCCAAGCCGTCTGGGTTCAAATTCTTATCCTCTGGGATTTTCTGCAAATTGATTAATCATTCTGATCTTCGCTTTCCTTCCCTGTAAAATGAGATTGATAAGTTATACTTCTTTCTTTTTGGAGTTCTTGGGGGCTTAAATAAATGACGGCACTTTAGGCTCAGCGTTGGGCTGCTTCCCAAAAGGATGAAACGAAGCAGCCATTGCAAGGGGAAGGGATGAGGCAGTGTCCTCATTGAAGACTGACAGCTTTGGAAACCCTTGTGGGCAGTTCATCTCTGCCCTGTAGCACTGCTGTGGGTTGGCACTGAGTCAATGGCAGTGGACTGTGCACATAAAGTGGTCACAGCAATGCTGGTACACTGCTGGAGCACGGCAAATGTTAGCTACTATATGACAACCGTTAAGGGAGGGTCTCAAGAAATCAAGCTTTTGAAGGGTTTCCATGGTTTCTAACACAGATACTTTTTCTACAGTAGAATCTTCCCTAGTCCATTGTGCTCTCTCTAAGGGACCTGTTTGACCTAAGTCTTAGAACATTCCAGCATGAAGGAACCTGAAGAGCATGTCCTCCTGCCTGCCATGCTATCCCCATATATGTGATTGACAGGTCTTACAATGGAGGTAGAACTCCCCTACACTTCACCCCCAAGCTGCCTTAACAAGACAAGTGAAGGCAGATCAGAGTTGCAGTGTCTAAAATACCTCCTCCTCGCTTGACAGGGAGGCTGAATGGGCTGGGGCAGGACTGCTTGCCCAGGACTTCCTGGGCCGCTGTACCTGAATATTTTTGTGTTAGAATCAGAGCTCATCTGCCCTTCACCTCTTTCCCTTCCCTGAGAAAATGGCTTCACTACTTACCTTATTGCTTCAGCAAGTGGGTGTCACCCTTGATCTTTGCTCCTTCCTGGCTACTCCAGCTCTCTGATCTGTGTGTCAGCTGCAGGCCCTCTTCGCTGTGAATCCTTGGTTCACACCTTGTCTTCTGGTTGTTGAAGTTCAGCCATCTCCTCTCTGGCATCCCAGCTTCCAGGCTTGCTGCCTCCAACCCATCGTTCTCATTGCAGCCCAAGTGAGCTTTCTAAAATGAAAAGCTGCCCCTGCCATTCCCCTACCTGGCTGCCCACTACCCCTACCCAAGTCCTCAGACCCATCGTTCTCACTGCAGCCCAAGTGAGCTTTCTAAAATGAAAAGCTGCCCCTGCCATTCCCCTACCTGGCTGCCCACTACCCCTACCCAAGTATCAAGCCCCAGCTCCACAGCACAGCCCTCAGGCCTCAGCCTTTCTGATCTCACTGCTGCTCCACTACCCACTCAGGCCTTATGCTCTGGCAGCACCAGGGGATTCTTGGTTTTTCTCTTCTTTCCCCAAGCTCCTCTTATTCTTTTTGGCCAAGCTCTTTTGTCACCTCCTTTTGGAAACTTTCTAGAACTTTGCCAGCTGAGCTGGACTCGGGTCTACACTTTGTGCCGATGTTGTATCTCTTCACACATGGGTCTGTCGCACAGCCTGCCATGCTGTGCGCTAATTACCAGCATCCTCTTTTACATCTGGCCACTAGCTCCTTATGCGAGAGGACCATGTCTTTGTTTCTTGTGTCTGTGTTCATTCATTTGTTGCTTGAATGTGGGAGTGAACACACTGGCTTTTTAATAAATCAGGGAAAGAATATAAAGCCCTTAGCTTAATGCCTAGCACATGGGGAGTGTCCAATAATAAGAACTAAGAGTTGATTTCAATCCGTAGTGACCCTATAGGACATGTATATGTATATGCATGTGGCACAGTGAGTGGTTAAAGCACGTAGTTACTAACCAAAAGGCCAGTAGTTCCAACCCAGCAGTCACTCTTTTGGGGAAAAGAAGATGTGGAGTCCATTTCTATAAGATTTACAGCCTAGGAAACCCTCTAGGAAGTTACATTCTGTCCTGTGCTGTCATTGTAAGTCAGAAGTGCCTCAAAACCCAGGTTTGGGTCTGAGCATTTGGTTTTTAATGTATATATGTTAATATACTATTACAATAACTTCCATTTTTATTAGTAATGACTACTGTAAATTTATTTGGGAACATTGTAAGTGTTGTCCTGGTGATAAGAAGCTGTGCTACAATCTCAAAAGCACATGATTCGAATCCACTAGCTGTTCTATGGGAAAGAGACAGGCAGTCTCCTCCCGTGCAATTTGCTGCCTCTGAAACTCTCTGGAGGGTCAGTTGTGGGTTGATTCCAATGACTGCACACAACATACTTACAAGAGTTTTCTCTAAGGCTAGGGTTTTTGTTTTGCTCTCCGCCACCACCTCTTCCCTATCTGCCAGGGAGCAACTTGACCACACAGAATTGCGGCCTGAGATGATGCAATTGCCAGGGTCTGTCTCCAACTAGAAGCAGCAGAAAACCCCGATGACACAGAATTGCTCCACAGCTTACACAGAAAGTTGAAGAACCAGCTACAAAAGTGGCTGCTGGTTCCCCGACCTCTTGCTGGGGTGAACCTTTTCCAAGTTCTTGATTTCTGTGCTTTTGGCTCCACACACCAGCTGGGTCTTCTTTTCTGAGCCACCTTGGGTGGGAAGAAGGTACTTTGACAAGAGTGCTCTGGTATGGGACTCAGAAAGTAGGAGCGCAGGCTCCTCCTTGATAAGCTTTTCCTAGTCCCGCAGTAAACCTTTGCCCTTCTGGACCCGGGGCCTGCTGGGAACCTTCTCCAGCCCCCTAGAAACACACTTCCGGGGTCTTGAGCAAGCAGGCAGGCCCTGGATTAGCTCAACCAGAGCCGACTGTGCTCCCTCCCAGTCTCCACCCTTCCTGGGAGGAAGCCGGGGGCTGCTCCTTAAGCTGTAAAAAACCTATGACCTATGTATGACTTTGAGTCACAGAGTCTCCAAATCATAAAAAATATCTGGTTACTGCCCTTGAGCAATCTCCAAGACGTTCTCTTTACGGTTGTTAAGCACTTAAACATGTATTCTACACCTAAACATCGATCTTCACAAGAATGAAGAAAGATCAGTGGGAAATATTCTTTATCATCATCATCATAATGACATGTTTGCAAAGTAGGGCACAAGTTTACAAAGGATTTTATAAATACTTATCCTCACAAAAATATCCATGCCAATTACAAACGCTGGTCTATCACTTTATCCATACTACCTTAGTTAGCATCTCTTGGCTTTAACTTCCCAGGAAATAATGGACACAAACATATAGCACACATGGTGTACATGGAAAACTAACACTAGGACGTGGGTGAAAACCTTAAAAGGTGTCCATTATTTGCATAGAGGTATGGTGATCCTCACAACAGATCTCAGGAGGGAGTGCTAATCACATTTGACACAAAAGGAAACAGCCTTACAGAGACCAAGGGGCCCCGTAAGAAAATGTCAGATCTGAAATTTGAACCCTAGTCTGCAGCTCCTCCCCCACTTGTCCAGGCTGAGAGGCAACAGACCATCTGCCATTCCCAGTCTCTGGGGAAGCAGTGGTCCCCTGTTGTCATCATGACTAAGGATGATGGCCTCCTACTCTGGCTCTCTGACGGTGGGATAGTCCTCAGGGATTGGCAGAGGGAGAATCACAAATAAATGGTGCTGAAAGTCCTCTGTGTGGTGCCCCCTCTGAGAACATCTCTGGGCCAGAGAGGAGCCCAGATGCTGCCACCCAGAATCTGGGGTCCTCAGTTCTGTTTCATATCACAAGTGCAAAGCTCCACTGTGACATCTCCATCATGTGCTGCTCGTCCCTTGGAAGCCCTGTTGTACTGGGATTTGCACCTTCTCAGGGCAGCCCCTCATGTCTCTGCTTCTTGGAAGGTCTGTTCTGATAAGGCACATGGTTTAACAAGGAAAAAGCAGAAATGACAGACAGTGAGTCATGGCTCTGCCATATGCAAGCTGTATGACCTACTTCGGGAGACTCGTGTTCTTTGAGCTGGTGTTTCTTCACTGCTAAAACCAACTAGGGGTGACACTCCCAGTACATTAACTTTCTGTGGCTTCAGAGTAGACCTCTGCCCATAGGTAGATGTTATAGAAAAGCTGGTATTGACAAGCAGAGAAGGACCTGTAAGACATTAACATCCTTGAATAAATTATTGTTGTTTTGTTGTAAATGAAGGAGAATAAAGAAAGCTAAAGCTTTTGTAAACAAGGAAATCTTATTTTCCGTGCAACCAATTGTATTGGCTGCCAGGTTAAATCAGTTCATGACGTCTAGATTAAAAACAACCTTGAAAGATGACGGGACTTTTCTTGTTTTTTAAGCATTCTCATAAGACTGCCTCCTTTAATTCTCTCACCAACTCTGAAGGAGACTTGGTGGACAGTATCTTGTCTCTTGGTAAAACTATGCCAGGGAGAAGGGTGGGGGAAGTGATCTGCAAGCACGTCACAGAGCTCTTCCAGCAGAAACAGTGTGGCCTCACTCTTCTTGCTCCCAGGCTGTGGCTGACTTGCTGTCGACCGGGTTCAGGACTTTGAGCTCCTGCTCAAACACTCAGAGCCTCTACATTTCCATCCAGTTGAGGTCTAACCTCATTTTTTTCTTCATTTGACTTTTCCATCCAGTTGAGTCTAACCCCTGAGGACATCTCATTTGACTTTTCCCACGCTGTCTCCCTGGGTCTTTCCCTGCATCCTCGGGTGCTGAGGGTAGGACCCTTGCAGTTCCTTGCACACATACACCCTCGTGAAGGGCCTTCCTCCTTGGTTTGCCGGTCAGCATCAACTCCAGCCCCCAGGGCCCAGCTCCACTCTCCTTCAGGAAGTCTTCCATGACTTGTCTAGGAATCTGTCTTCTTCCTTTAACTCCTTGGCCTGTGGTTGGGATGTGTACACCTCTCTGCTTCATAACCTGTGAGCTTTCTGTGCCTCTGATTCATCCCTTTGTCCAGCCCCGTCTGGAAGCTCCAGTTGTTTAGATATGAGCACATCTCTGGGCTTGTCGGGGTGTGTGCACGCCGCTGCTTCATGGGCGGTGAGCTTCCTGAGCATTTGATTCATCACTTTCTCCAGCTCCACCTGGAAGCCTTAGGGTACATGCTTGATCTAGGTTTGCTGACAGAAGAGAGGAACCAAGAAAATGGCTCTTGGTAGTGCCAAGTATTGGCCAATTTTCCAGATCTGATGGAGCCTATTAGGCACTAAATGTGTTGTTTGCTGTTGGTTGCTTTAGCAATGATTTTTTTTTTTAGTAGATGAACAACTCCTTTCTTTTACTGTTGTGTTTAATGTTTTGTGTTCACACTCTTTGGCAGATAAAATATAAATGTCCTCCTCTGCCCCTAAATTTTTCTCCCTCATGACAAGCTCTCCTGCCCTGTGGGTATCAGGGGCTGCATGACAATGTCATGTCACCCTATAGGTTGTCCCTCATTCTTTTCAGTTTTGTCTTTTTTTAAATACTCAAAACTAACTTCCGAGTACTTCACCCTTTCTCTCTTGTACCTCAGATGATGTTTCTTTAGCGCTGGAAATTTCTCCAACAGTAGACATTTGTAGTCATTTCACCATGTACTCAAAACTCGTGACTAGAAACTGACTCGTATCTGATCCTCCAGTGGGTTTCTGAGGTTGTAAATCTCCCAGAAGGAGATGCCCATATTTCCCCCTTGAAGCTGCTGGTAGATTCAGACAGCCAGGAAGCTCAGCCCTGGGGTTAGCAGTGCAGCTTCTTACAGACTACAGCACCGGAACACCCTCCTCCCTACAGGAGAATCATTTTTAAAGCAAAGCATTCGGAAAACATAAAACTATAAAGAGAAAAATTACAATCCTGTCACTCAGAGGTAGTCACTATTCTCATTATGTTTATGGCCTTTCCTTAAAAAAAGTCATTTGCAATCAGCTAAAATGAGATGGATTGTTAGTGTTGGCCGCAAGGGACTCCAATGTGTTGACAATGACGAGGATGGCACAGTATAGGACAGAGTTCAACTCTGTTATTCATGGAGTCAATATGAATTGTGCTTGACTTGACAGCACCTAACAGCCCAACAATAATACAGATGTCCCACTTTGATTTTTTTATATTCAGGGGCTTAGTGGTAAGAATCTGTGCTGCAATCCCAAAGGCACACGCATGGTTCGAGGCCACCAGCTGCTCCGCGTAAGAAGGATGGGAGTGCGATTAACGGCTTCTGAAAACCTGCTGGAGGGTCAGCTATGGGTCGGTTCTGACTCTACATTAAATAACAACAAACAAACATCATTGTGACCCTTCACAGTTCCCTGTAATATAAAATCTCTATAACTAAGTCCTGTGAATATATGTTCTTTTCTGTTTATAAAAGTAAACATGTGCATAAAATAAAAGTTGCCAACTCCAAGTGACCCCCTAAGGATAGAGCAGAACTGCCACGTAGGGTTTCTGGGTCTGTAATCCCCTCACAATCAGACTATCACATCTTCCTTACGTACATAAAGTGACTGGTGGGTTTAAACCGTCTCCTTTCCAGGTACCACTCGAGCTCCTATAACCACCCTGCCAGCAGGACTCCTGCAGAACCACATTGATTGTGTGGAGTTGATCCCCTCTCATAGCAACCCTGTGCACAGAGCAGAACTGCCCACGGAATTTCCAGGGCGAGAAATCTTTCCTGACACAGACCACCACATCTTTCTCTTGCAGAGCAGCTGGTGGGTTTAAACCTCTGATCATTTGGTTAGAAGCTAGGTGCTTAACCAACTGTGCCACTAAGGCTCCTTTGCTTATATTTACTTTAGAAGATTTGGGGGAGGAGAGTCCGGTAAAACAGAATGAGAGTGGCCTGCTAATTATAACCCATCGTGCAGCTCCAGCCACTTTTAAGATGGGGGGAGGGGAGAACCAGACCAACACAAACCAAAAAAATGTGTTGCCATTGACTCTATCAGAACCTACTCAGAGCCGACCCCCACAAAGGGTGTCTGAGGCTGTAAACTGCATGCGAGGAGATTGTCCTCTTTCTTCTGAGGAGAGTGTTTCATTGAGACCATTTCTATACCATCAAGACTGCGTGATACTCCCAGTCTGACTCCCTTCACTTGGTAAGTCCCTTTCATGCTCTCATTCATCTGCATTTTTATTAACATTGTTTTAAGTGCTTGGGTTCTATTCTAGAAAGGCATCATGATTTATTTAATCAGTTCCTAGATTTTCTGATCCTTAAATTATTTTCAGGCTGAGACTTTGATAAACAATGCCAGGGTGAAGCCCTTGGCATGTAAAGTTTTGTATGTCAGGCTGGTTCCTCAGTGTAGGGTCTCAGAATTTTCTATGAAAGTGTTTCTAGGAAGACTGTATCAGCAAGATCTATCATTTGACTGACTGCAGAACATTCTGGGACAATCCTGCCTCTTTGCTATTGTTAACATGTTGCTGCACACTTTTAAATTGACGACTGTGCTTAGAAACACATTTTGCTGTCATTTGCTGTGTATTAACCTCCAAACATGGCTTGTTGGTGCAGCAGCTGTCACCTAGTCCCAGTCCCAGCTGAACTTGTAGTGTCCCATCGCTCAGTCTTCTCCAATGCACTAACCCAGGTGGCTTGATCTAATTTCCTTTATTCTTCAGAGCCAGAGAATGCTGATTTGGAGGAGTTCCTGAGCCCAGTGGAAACGCCTACAGGACTGGTGGGCATGGCAGCTGCTTTACAACCTGTCCCAGCCAAACCTTCGGCCCTGCAGAATATTTCCCTCAAGCACCTAGGAACTGAAATACAGTAAGTGTGGGTTTCTGAGCCATAGGCAGCCCCTTCTGCTGAGTCTTGCAGTGGCCAGTTGCTTCCACTACAGGGAGCTGGGGAGATTTCTTCTCATCTAATCATATGATTGTTGTTTACCATCAAGTCGGAACCGACCTACAGCTGACCAATGGCAGGTTTTCAGAGGCAGTTAGTCACAGAAGAAGAGATTGCCCATCCTTCTCCCATGGAGCAGCTGGTGTACCTTTGGGATCGCAGCACAGCTTCTGCCACTAGGCCACCAGAGCTCTCAATAGTATATTTTTAAATCTGGTTATAAAATAGCCCATGTTCTTTGTTGGAAGTTAGAAAGATGTAGCCAGGCTTCTGCTTGGATGGCTCAGACAAGCACTCTGCTACTTTACAAAAGGCTATAGTTTGAACCCACCTAGATATGCCTCAAAAAAGGGTTTGCTGATCCACCTGAAAGATCACAGCCCTGAAAAGCCTGTAGAATAATTTTACTCTGAACATGGGGTTACTATGGGTCAAAATCCAGTCAGAACAACTAAGAACAACCATGACAGAAAGTTATAAAGAAAAAAAACTTAAAAGGATCCATCATTTCGTCACCTAGATGAGCACTGTTAACATTTGGTAATTGTCCTCTGTTTTCTATGTGCACATATATGTAATATCAGATCATAATATGGTAATGCTTTCATAAGTGTTTCCATGTGGCAAATTCAACAAATTGCTCACTTTTTACATGTACGGTTTATTACATATCAGTCATATTTAAACTAATTTTCCATTCCCATTGTCAAGCTTTGCTTTAAATTATTGTTGTTATATAACGTAGAGCCGGAACCAACCCATCGCTGACCCTCCAGTGGGTTTTCAGAGACAGTAAATAGCATGAAAAGAGATTTCTCATCTTTCTTCCATGGAGCAACTGGTGAATTCAAACTGTCTACTTTGGAATTGACAGCCCAGTTCTTTACCACTAAGCATCCTTGCTTCAAAGAGTTTCTTAAAAGACAGTGTGTGACCTTGGGGTTAAGAGTCTGGTCTTTAGAGCCAGACCTCCTGGGTTTGTATCCCGGCTACACCACTGTAATCAGCTGTGCTGCACTAAGCGAGCTATATTCTCGCTCGCTCTCATTGTTGTCAAGTTGAAACTGACTCATAGCTCACCCTCTATTGAGGTTTTAAAGGCTGTAAATCACGTGGGAGGAGTTTGCCCCTCTTTTCTGCCTCAGAGCTACTGATGGTTTCAAATTGCTGGAGTTAATTTGGGTTAATAATGCAACTCTCTGTGAACTAGGCCACCAGAGCTCCTTCAGGATGCTCTGTTGTTGTTGTTGTGTGCCGTTAAGTCAGAACTGACTCATAGCTGACCCTCCAGGCAGCTTTTCAGAGCAGCTTTTCTGTAAATAGCATGGGAGGAGACTGTCCATCTTTCTCCCATGGAGCAACCAGCAGATTCAAACTACCTGCTTTTAGGTTGGCAGTGCAACTCCTTACCACTAGGCTACCAGAGCTCACCCAAGTTACATTAGTAAGAATAGGTAGGATAGTGCTTGACTTCTAAGATTAGTGCAGTGTTAAATGGCGGTGAGCTTCTTGGCCCATGGAGCAAGAAACAGACTGCCTTCAACAGGAGGCTTGTTGTTGGCTGGCACAAGGTCGCTCCTGGCATTTGGTGGAAATAGATTTGCAAGCACACCGGTCGGGAGCTGTTCACCTTCCAGCTGAAATTTCTTTCCTGGCAGAGGAGGGGTGCCCCTGGGTTCTTATCTACAGCACTAAAAAGCTTTGTCATTTTCTAACTCTTACCCAAGTAGAGCAGGGACCAAGCCAAAGAGCTGATGAGAAACCCACTTGTGCACACAGCTGAGAGAATGGTGTTCTGACTGAAAACTGTCCTGAACTCTTCCTTAGCCTGAACTATACCGTTACTTCCCTAATAAACTCTCAATCCTAGGTACGGTCTGTGAATTCTGTGTAGCCGTCACACAGATTTACTGAAACTGACAGAGAAGTAGAGGTGCTGTGGGAGGAATGTTTGGTGTCAGAACTATTAAAAAAGTTGGAGAGTGAAGGCGAACCTGATGTCTGCCTCACAGGAATTAGCCTTAGATTGTTGATCTTGGCAGTCTTCCTTGCCCCTTGTAAAGTTAGAGGTCAGATGCCCCAGTCAAAAATTTTGACAGTGTACTCAGCACACAGCAATTTCCCTCTGCTGGCTTCAGTGGTTGAATTTGCCTGAATAGCTTAGACGATTAGCAGAGAGAAAGAAGTAGGCTTTGGGGAAAGGCCCTGAATGCCTTTTGGGCTGCTGGCTGCATGCAGAGCTTCCCACAGACAGTTGTGTGGAGAGTCCTGGAGCCCAGGAGAGAGATTTGGACTGGAGAAAGAGCTTTGGGAGATACAGGGCTTGCTGGACCTCCCGGGGAGAGTAGGTGAGGAGGACACCTAGTGGAATGGTCCCTCAGGAGTTGCAGGAGGGAAGTAGGTGCTCAGCACGGCCTGTATAGGGAGCCTGGTATGTTTAGGTGGATGTCTGAGAAGTCCAGCAGCCAGGCAGTCACATACTCTGGGTCGTCTCCCCGAGATGAAATCCATTGATACCTAAAGGAGGCCCTGAGTAGCAGAAGTAGAAAAGAGAAAAATGCAGAGACCAGGAAAGGAAGGAAGTTTCAGAGCATCAGTCATTTCCTGTCATTTGTAATAAACCACAGAAAATACTGGCCAAGATTTCAAAAAAAAGTGCCCTGTTCTGTGCAGGCCCAGACAGCTTGGTTAGATCAGAGGTACTGCTGCTGTGTCCTCAGCCCCTCATCCTGGCTGATCTTGGGAATCTGCTGTTAGGCCTGCCATGAGCCAAGGTCATGTTCAAGGAGTGTGGGAGCTTTCTGAGCACTGTGCTAAGTGCTCTATGCTCTCTCTGAGTGAACAAACTTGTGAAGCCATATCATTAATGGAATCAAGCATCCAGGTTTGATGCTCAGGCCACAGTTTAAGAACTCTGAGGCTTTGGGCAAGTTTGTTTATACTCTCTGGTATCAGAGATTGAGGGTGGAGACCCTAACCACTTATGTGAGGAAGATGGTGTCAAAGGTGCAGAGTGGATCCCTGGAGGAAGTTTTCAGACACAACCTTGTTTGCTGGAAGTGAAGAGGGCTTGAAATATTTGTTGAAGCCTTCAATATGGATTGCGTCTCACCATCAAAAAGACAAAGATGGAAGCAGAGGGATGAGGATATGCTGCAGTGGGGTGATTTATCATGGGGTTGCACAATTTGATGAGGGGGGCTGAGGGAAATGGGAAGAATCTGATATGAAAAACAATATATTCAAATTTTGTGAATAAACTAGTATAATAGAGGGGGAAGAATACAAAGATACCACTGGACCAAAATAGATGAAGAAAAGGTTGAAATTGCCAGTGATTTCATCTTATTTGGATCCACAATCAACACCCTTGGTGCCAACAGTCAGGAGAACAAGAAACTAATCGCATTGGGCAAGTCTGCTATCAGTGATCTGTCCAAATTACTGAGGAGCAGTGATGCCAGTTTGAAGACTAAGGTGTGCCTGATCCAGGTCATCATCTTTTCAGCCATTTGCTATATGTCTGAAAGCTGGACAGTGAATGAGGATGACAGGAGAAGAATTGATGCCTTTGAGTTGTGATGTTAGAGTACTGAATATTCCGTGGACTATAAAAACCCACAGATATATCTTGGAAAAAGTACAGTCAGAGTGCTCCTTGGAGGCAAGGATAGTGAAAATTTGCCTCACATAATTTGGGCATGTTGCTAGGAGAGGCTATTCCTTGAAGAGGGACATTATACTTGGAAAGGTGGAGAGTCAGCAAAAGAAAAAAAGACTCTCCATAGGATGGATTGACAGCAGGGACTTAATGATCAGAGGTGGTGAGGATGACACAGGATAGGACAGGGTTCAGATCTGTTGTTCATAGAGTTGTTCTGAATAGTCAACTTGAAGGCACCTAATAACAACAATATCAGTCAGCCTCTTTTTGTCAATCAAGAGTAAAAATAATGCTTTTATCATTGGACTCTTGTGAGGATTAAATTAATTACATACATATAGAGTGTTTCTTGTCAGAACAGAGCAGGGCAACACTGCATGGTTCAAAATTGGGAAGGGTGTACGCCAGGGATGTGTCCTATCTCCATACCTTTTCAACCTGTATGCAGAGCAGATTATCCGAGAGGCTGGGCTCTATGAGGAGAAGCGTGGCGTTAGGATTGGTGGAAGATCTATCAACAATCTGCGTTATGCAGATGACACAACCCTGCTCACTGAAACTGAGGAGAACCTCATGCACTTACTGCAGAGGGTCAAGGACTACAGCCTTCAGTACGGACTGAGGCTCAATGTCAAGAAGACAAAAATACTCACTACTGGACCAATCGGTAGCATCAGGATGGATGGTGAAGAGATTGAGATTGTTCACAGCTTCAGTTTGCTCGGCTCCACGGTCAACACTCTTGGCACCAGCAGCCAGGAAATCAAAAAACGTATTGCGATGGGAAAGTCTGCTGTTAGGGACCTCTCTAAAGTACTCAAGAGCAACGGTGTCTCTCTGGAGACTAAGGTGCACCTGATATAGGCCATGGTTTTTGCAATAACTTGTTATGCATCAGAGAGTTGGAAAATGACTAGGAATGATAGAAGGAGAATTGATGCCTTTGAGCTGTGGTGCTGGAGAAGAGTATTGAATGTACCATGGACTGCCAAGAAAACAAACAGATTCATCCTAGAGAGGGTTAAACTAGGCTACTCCTTGGAGGCAAGGATTCTGGGGCTTCGCCTGACATACTTTGGACATGTTGTAAGGAGAGACAGGTCTTTAGAGAGGGACTCATGCTGGGCAGAGTGGAGGGACAGCGCAGGAGGGAAAGACCCTCTATGAGGTGGATTGATTCAGTGACTGGGGTAATCGGGATGGGTGTGTCAGAGGCAATGAGACTGGCACAGGATAGAGCAGGGTTTAGGTTTGTTGT